TAAGGAGTAGAAAGTACAGATATTTGTGTAAAAATGTAAGGAGTGGAAGTAAAAAGTCGCCATAAAAATAAGTAGTAAAGTAAAGTAAATATATCAGAAAAATCTACTTGAGTACAGTAACGAAGTATTTGTACTTCGTTACTTCCCATCTCTGGTAGTGACAGAGGAGAGGAAAAACTATCTACTAACAGGAAGAAAACTCCAGCAAAACCAGGCTCAGTGTGAGAAGCCATTTGCCGAGGCCGACTGGGGTTCATGTAAACAGAAACAAATAAATCAGCGTAAAGTATCAGTAGTTAGCCATATGTAAGTCATGGTGTAGTGAGGGCTACAGTATGCTAAACCTGAGGTCTGTTGTGGTCATTTTAATGGTCACAGCAAAGGAAGTCTATTATTTTTGACAAACTAAGCTTCTGAGAAGGGCTGAAGCTAAAATAAACAGCAGTTTATTAGGGGCACCACCTAATTAGCAAGTAGAGCAGCAAAGCTCTGCAGCATAATGTTAAGGTGCCGTCAGGAAGCATCTCAGATCAGTTTGTACGGTAATCGCACACCTGGTGACGATCAAATGATGGAGAAGGAGCTCAACCAGGATTCCTTCCCCGAAGTAAAAAACAGAATTTTCTTCAAAAATAAACAGAAAAAGCAAAAAATTAGGGAAAAAAAGCAAAAAAATGTATGTTTAATATCCCTGTTCAGGATTTTTATGACTTGGGTATAATCATTATGTCTCAAATGCAATGCTTGTAAATGTTCATTGTTATAGTTGGGAACTCATGTTCAAATTATTTGTATTTATTTACCTTCTTGCCTTGGCTTTACCTGGCATTGACTTAAAATAATTGACTTAAATTGGATAAAAGGATTTGGGGCTAAATACAATGCAAAAAAATAAATCTAAAAGTAAATTTAAAGTCATTTTTCTTAAAATAAGTGCATTTTATTCTTGAATTGGGGAGGTTATTGAGACACTTTGCCAATGCAAAAAGACAATTTACATTTCAAATAAGAAAAAAACAATGTTATTGTCTTATTTCAAGTGCATATTATCCAATTATCTTATTTTAAGAATAAAAAAATTAATTCTATATCAAATCGTCTTATTTACCTACTCAAATTAAGGGTGAATACATTTAATTTAAGAAATGTCTACTTATTTCTAGATGGTTTTAGCAGTGTATGCACAATATGTCGCCTTTAACATTGTTATCAGTCATTTTTTAACATATTGTTATGGGTCAGATAATTAAAATAATTACAATTAACAACAATATCTCTTTGGATCGTGCTGCCATGTGTGGGTGGGAGTGGGCTGGCCGTGTGTTTTTCATGCAGGATTTTGGGGTTCCTAATTAAAGCAGCAAAGTGGTGGGTTTTTGTACACATGCATGCATATTTATCTATACAACATAGTTTTTCTATATACTTATTTGTAAGAAACTTGTTGCTGATGCCGTCCTGCTTCCAGTGAGAACATTTTAAAATAGAAAAATCAAGTTTTTAATCAGCAACCTTACTGAGACGATTCTTTAATTACCCAGTGCTTCACTCATACTATTGTATGCCAGACCGACATAAGTTGGTTCCTATTAAAAGTTTGTTTTTTATGTCATTTTGCATCTTTGCAGCTACTATACATGAGGAGTCTCAAATATATGACCCACAGATATTGTGAGTATCAAAACGTTTTTGCCGCCTTTTAGACTTCATTTGTTTTTTGTTCAAATTTCTTTAAATGTTTCAGATGATGATGATGATGAATTGGGCAATTGTGGGACAATGGGGAAATTAAAGGGCCCTTATCATGCTAAATGTATTTGTTACTAACTATGTTATAATGGTATTCCTGCACTTAGTGGTATTTCGTTTTATTCATTCATGTCTTAGTAATCTATATGAATGCTGCTCTCTGGGCAGCAGCCCTTGCCGTTCTGGAAAATGAGTAGCCATCGCCCTCCTACATAGGGCAAAGTTTACCCACCCTCTACGGGAAGCGCCCACCTTGATTGCGCCACGCCTGCCAAGTAAACAAACACCCACTTTCTGTGGTGATGTGAGGCAGAGTGTGGTAGTTTCTCCTCAAGGTTGAGAGAACCTGGCTCTTTTAGCAGCTTATCTGCAAAGTATCAGCAGCAGTTGATTTCTAGGTAGTTTCAAGTTGGAAAAATGTGTTTTTCAACAAAGACAATTTGTTGTTGACTTTATGCAGCTTTCCTAAAGAAAAGCCTTATTGCCAGAAGTGTCATAATGCCATGTTGCAGCTGCTTCAGAGTGAGGTTATGAAATGTGGAGAGCCAGCATCGTAATGGAGGCAAAAGCCTTTCTCCAATATTTCATAACAAAGAAATACTTTGTAGTGTCAAAGGTACCTTTTATTTATTTATATATATATAAGAAGTCAAAGGTTGAGAGTTTGGAGGGAGAGACAATAATCTGGTTAAATGTGCATTTATCATGTCCTGCAAATTATTATTACCATTTGTTTTATATTGTTTCTAAATATAGCAAACAATTAAAAAATAATTGATATTTATACCAAGAAAGATAAAAAACAGTTCACTGGACTTTGTTTCTAAATTTGAAGACACTTCGCTTCCTATCCAGGAAGCTTTTTCAATTCAAAATGTCAGCAATAGGGTTGAGTTTGATGCTTTATAAAGTGGGCCAAAAACAAAGCCTTGTTTTGGCTTAGAAAACATTCACATTGAACTGGATGAACGGGTCCGTCCCTCAGGAATGAGAAGTAGTTTGGGTTCTTTGTTAGCCTGCAATACCTCATACCTTTCTATTTCTCTGAAAGGGGGGTCATTAGAGAGAATTGTTGGCATGGCTGAAAAGGCCAAGTGTTCAGTTCCCCTGTGAACACCTCGCCTGTTCAGCCAATTAACCTAGCTAATTAGATAAGCAATTAAAAGGTCACTTTTACCTGATCTGGAACATTTATCTGTTAAAATAAAAGAAGAAACAGTCTGTTATAGCTTAAAACTTCAAATTCATGTCATTCTGAAATTATTTGTTGGCAGTCAGCGTGGGGGCAGCAAATTTGCAGTGATGAGATCAAAAACAGGTAAGAACAAAACATAACAAACATTTTTGGAGGTGGGAATTTGATACTGAGGATTTGTTGATCGTTTTTGGTTCTTTTTTTGTATTTTTCAGTCACCAGAGCCAATCCGATGTCTTCACCCTCAGAGTATGTACAGAGTGACGATCTTCTTATCTTAAATAAACAGATGCTATCACAGTCTGCAGGTTGCATTTGATAGAAAAAAAGAGTCAGAAGCATTCTTTAATTCAATTTGTTCCTTTTCTTTAACAAACACATTTTAAATACCTTTGACATTTTAATCAAGTCATCTATAATGCAAAGCCTTTTTTCCTTGGAAGGAAATGAGGAAAAAATTAGGTAGGGTAGGGTTTAAAACCTTTGCACTTGCTTACACATCATCTTATGTCCATTTTTTATCTACAGTACTTGTTGAAGAGGTTTCGATCCATCTTTTTAGAAAAACAGGCAATTTTATCTTCAGCACATAATTTAAAGAAGACTCCTGCACACTGTCCATCTTGCAGAAGAAGACATTTATTTGCAACATTTTAGTACTAGACAAACAGATTTTGCCTGATAAAGGTCTAGTCTTGAAAGTTTGCAAAAAAATGTCTTCTTCTGCAAGTTGGACATGCACCTGTCATGTTATAAAGATGTGCAATGTGCAAAGTAATATCTTCAGCACATAGAAATCTACCCTGCTTCCAATGCATCTAACAGAAAAAGCACGACCCAGATACTATGGTATAAAAGTAGGAGTTTATTCACTTTTGCTTTTCCGGATAAAACAAGTATTTAAAGAAAATTTAAAAGGTAAGACTGCATCCTTTCTCCGTTGCTGCCCACCATTCCAAACTATTGAAGAGGTGAAGAATGAAGACAGCTGGTGGTGTTCCTAGTAGTAGATTTCCATGCAAAGTTAGATAAACTAAAAACTCTCATTTTACAATGCTTGAGGAATCTCAGATCAGATCCTGCATGCCTAAGTTAGCCTGTTAAATGTTAGAGTTCATGGAAGTAAAAATCAGGAGAAACTCACCCAATATGAGTTTGTTTGCTTTGCTTTTCTCTTGCTAATGTTGGCAAAAAGTCCATGAAATTGGGAAAAAAAACTGCTTCTCTCTGATGGAAGCAGAACTTTGCTTTAAACAGTTGCATCTGAATGAACCGACCATATGACTCCTACAGTAGCAGCCAATAAAAATGGCCCTTCCCAGTCAAATGGCAGCCGAAATGGCTGCCAACTGCCCTGCAGCTCCCAGCGAAATCCCATCCAACTTCCAGCCACTGGCCTTCTCCTAGACATCCTTTTTTTTACTCTGACTCCACCCTTTCACTAAATAACAGGGTCTGACCAGGAAATAAAGCTTCTCTTAAGATCATAATGTCCAGAAGTCTTGAGAGAAAGAATATTTTAGTACAAATATTGATGTTTAAAAAACATTTGTTGGGGACCAGCCAAGGACCCATGAAGAAAGTGGGGAAATTTTGAATGGCTACTACTGTACTACAACAAGTCCTTTAGACAATTATCGCCTCAGAACACAGGTCTGAGTATAATCCAAAGTTTTAGATATGGATAAAACCAAACAACAGATCAGGACACACACCTCCTACAGTATGTTTTGCCTTGTTTTTTGCAGCCACCTCATTTTGGCCCCCTTTAGTCACTAAACTCTTTTCTCTAGGGTCTGACAGCTGAAGCTTAGCCAAAACATGGTCATTAACATGAACTAGAACTACATTTTGATAATGTTTGTAAAATTGCATTCAATTTATCTTCAATTTCAGTTTATTTATATTATTATTATTATTATTTTATTGGTGCTATCACCAATTGACAGCACGTTTTTTCAAGGCACTTTACAGAGACCTTAAAAAGACAAACAACCAATGTGTAGTATTGGCCTTTTCAAAGTTAACCTTAAGCTCATTGAAATGCTGACTTTGTGGGTCTGCACAGAAAAAAAACTGTTCAAACCTCCAACATATCAAGCAATGCTGCAAAAAACGACAGACTGACAGAGCTACAAAGCGTTTTTGCAGCTTATCCTGTTGAATCATGGGATGTGCTTAGTTTTTCCCATGTGGAGTAGTGACAGAAAGGAGTCTGTTTTACAAAGATTGGAAAGAGCAGGTCAGTTCTATTAGCGCCACATTTTATTATCAAAATGTGGCCTAACTAACTCTGTCCCCCATTACTCGCCAGTCGCTTCGTAGGTATCACCCCCCTAAAGTCAACAGCATGACTCTGGACCACCCAAAGGACTTCGCTATTCATATGGTTTAACAAAACATGTGAATTAGGAAATCAGACATGTTTGTCTTATGCTCATTGGAACTAATTTGACTGTGAGGGAATAATGAGCTGTCCCCCTGTGTCGTTTAGCAGTTTGAATAATAAAGAACAACTGTTTTCCAGAGACACTCCTGAGGAGAATCAATTTCAAGACGGTAAGCTGCTGCTCCTCGGTATGAATGCGTAGAAAAGAAGCCGGAAACTTCTTTAAGTAACCAGTTGTGCGATCAATCTGTGTTTGCAGCTCAAACCGAAGAGCAGGACTATGAAAATGTGTCAGGTTGTAAGTCGGTTTACGTTGCAGTACTTTTTTGAAGTATTTTTTCAACAGAATTCCCACAAGCGGCTTTTATATTAATGCTTCTTGCTGTGTTCTTACAGTGCAAACAATCAGCTCCAGCCTGGAACATGACTATGTGTAAGTCTCATTTATTTAACTCTCCACGCTTTTAATATTTCTAAACCCCTGTGACCGACAGCATCATGTGGAGAGCCTGCTAGTTTTGAGCCGACGGTGTCCATTATTTTGTGACTAATCAGCCACTTTGAGAGACATTGATCTCCATGACGTAAAGTTAATTTTATCTGAAATGAGAATTGAGTTAACTTTTGCTTTCAAAAGAAAGCAGTGGGAATTTCCTTTGATTTGCTCTGCATAAAAATTGAATATTCAGTGAGAAGCTACAGACTAGGTGTTGAATCATAGCTAGAATAAAACTGGTTCGGTTAGATGCAAGAAATCTTTTAATATTCACATTTTTTAAACACTTCCTCTGTATTACAAAAAGATTTTGTTTTGTTTTATGTGTTTATTTATTTTGAGGTTGAGGTTTTAGCAGCACTAGTGGCTCGTTATTGTAGAGTAATCTGATAGAAAAGGGGGTACAAGAGAGAAGGAGAGACAGGCGGCAAAGAACCACAGGCCAACCCGGTCTCATCTAGTGCTGGCTCAAGGTTGTGTTGGCCCTTAAAGAGAGGTGGATTTGGGGCCCCACTTGTCATAATCCTTGGACATTAGATTTGAGGATTTTTTTCTTGTTGTATTATTTCTGTTGTTTAATTCTGTTCTCAGTGTACCCTTGTTTATCTTAGATCTCTTCCGCTTCCCTTTTATTTAGAGTTTCAGTGGATTTTAGTCTTACTTTCCCATGTTAATTAGTCTACTTCCCTCAGTCTCCCTGCTTACTTTCTGCCTCAGCTGCTCCTCGTTATCCGCTGATGACCACATCTGCTTGTGATGTCATTCTCCTCACATCCCTCAGTATTTTGGTTCACTGTAGGCCAGCGATCTCCGCTGGAGCCTTAAGTTCTGCTACCACTATTCTCTTAATTTTTAACAAATTAAAGTTGATAATTCCTTTGAAATATTTTAATTGATCTATTTTGAAACCAAATCAAATTTAATAGTATTTGTATTTTCAACAAACATTTCAAACATGTTAGAATCAGGGTTTGTGTTAAAACTCAAGCCCAGATGGCAGTCCCCTGATGGTTTGAGGTACCCAGACTTAGGCTCAGTTCACTTATGCCTTGGGCCAGCTCTGATCTTGTATGGAAATGTAAGGCATAAAGGTAACCGTTAAGTAAAATAACAGTTAAGAAAAGGAAGGAAAGAAGGAGAATCTCATGTTAACATCAGGATGAACTGAGAAAGACATGGCCGACATTACCCTGAAAGAGACATTTCTATTTCATTTATTTCCAACAGAGAAGTATGAAATAAACCTTACTGACTCTAACATTGAGTAGTAATAATTGGTGCAACAAAGGTGGTTATCAGCTCCATAGGTTTAAGGTAACTGGCTCCTGAGCTACATGGTCTCATCGTCTCCCGCTTCTTCCGGGACCGAGTCACGGAGGCAGTAGTCTCAGCAGAGACTGCCAGACTTCCTTCTCCTCAGACACCTCCTCCAACTCTTCTAGGAGAAGCCTATGGTGCTCCCAGGCCAGCAGATAGACATCGTCTCTCCATCATTTGCTGGCTCGCCAGGGGGCATCCGAAAAAGATGTTGAGCCACCTCAGCTGACTCTTTTCGATGTGAAGGAGGAACAGTTCTACTCCAAGCCTCTCCTGAAAGACTGAGAACCGCCACCTTTATGTGGTGGAGGGGGTTTCAGTGCCTGGATGATCCCAGACGCTGTGTTTTGGTAGGGTCTCCCAAGGCAAACAGGATCTTGGTGACAGATCAGACAAAGAGCAGTTCAATAGCCCCTATGAAAAGAAAAAAAGATTGAGGTACGAGACGCCCGGCTGAAAGAGCGACGTGACGCCATCCCCCAGTGGACTCACCACCTGCAGAGGAAACCATGATGAAAGAGGAGCAAAGAAGACTGAGCAACAATCATAGAAGTTGACCCAATCCACGGATGACTGGTCTGAGCTGGGTTCCCAGAAAATGTGAAAATAGAGCCTTAGAGCCAATCAGAATGAAGAACCAGAAAATACGGTTAGCAAATAGAAAGATCTGCAGCCAAACCAGTAAAGCAGGAATTTCTCACCTATAAACTGAAATCCCCTCAAAGATAGAAAATCCCTGGGAATATAATTAACTCTCCTGGATTAAACAAAACAAAGAAAAAAACAATTCAATTTAAGAAACTTTATGAATTGAGAAAAACAGGTGAAAAGAAAAATAGACTAAACTATAAAAAAGCATGGAGTACTGCTGAGCTGAACATTAACTCATGCAAACAACTGAATTTGAAATGAAAGACTGTGTTTCACTGTTTCACAGAGCACCGATCGCAGTGTCATTATATGAGAACGAAAAAAGCCATTTAGCAGGTAAGTAGTTTATGCCTTAAACCACATATTAACACGTCATTCATCTGCATGTCCTGCTCATAGAGACGTCAATAAGCCTGAGGCTTGTTCAGAATCACTGAAACAGTACGTAGCTCTTTTCCTACTCTGGGTAGAGTTCTTACTGTTGACCCCATAAAGGGTCCTAGGCCTAGGACCTAGGAACAGGAGCTAGGGGGCTATAATTTGAGGTTTTTGGTTGTTGTTTTTTTTTTTGCGTTAGTCTTTCCTCATACAGTGTCTATCACATGTGGTTTCAGATGTATGATTATGACCAGCAAACTTACTCTGTTGGGGTAAAACAATAAGCGAAGAGTCCTCGTGTAGAAGGGATCTGGGTTAGGTGCCTATACATATAAAACAAAGATATGTAACTGAGGCTCTGGAATTGACCTTGTCCCTGTGGCAGAGGCCAGAAAGACCAGGAGGATTTTTAACTGGGACTGAGCTCACAGTGACCCAGGCTCTAGATCAGTGGTTTCAGGAAATTTACAGGAAGTCAAAACAAAAAACTTCTAAAACATTTTTTCAGAGTTTTTTCAGAGTTGCTTGGTGAAGTTAAAAATGCAAAAAAACAAAGTCGCCTGTGTGCAGAGCTAAAAGCTGGTACTGTTCCTCTGGTGGCTGAAGTGGGCACAATTAAACGACCCCCATTCCTAAGGGACAGACCCTTATGTTCAGTTTAATTTGCATGTTTTTTAGGCCAAAACAAGGCTTTGTTTTTGCTTCACTCTATAAAGCCTCGAACTTTACGTTATTTGTGACATTTTTAATTGAAAAAGCTTCCTGGATGGGAAGCAAAATGTCTTCAACTTTTTTGGAATGTCTATGACCTGGTTGACTGAGAATCTTCACCAGCACAATTAAAGGGATTTGATTGTCTTTAGTGAACTTATTGTCGTTGAGGATGAATTCATATAAAATATTACATCTTTTTTTGTGTTTTTATCTGAGAAATGCTTCACCAAGATGCAAAAAACAAAACAAAACCCATGATTTCTTTAGGTTGAATAAAGCAGACACTGTTTGGTGGCAATATAACGAAAAAACTTGTTTTAATGAAAGTTATCAAAAACAGTGGGCAACAGAGTCAGGGAGTTTTCTGTCTTTCATAATACATATGTGGTTTGAGGTTATAATGGTGTTCCTTTGTGTCTAGTAGATGTAGTAGTTTAATAAATACATAATCTTTTTTGACGTTTCATGACATGAATGCTTTGTTTCTAGAAGCTGAGCAGAATCCTGGCCTTTATGGGAATGTTTTCCCGTCTCTGTCAATAACAGAAGGTAAAATCCAGTCTGTGCTCTCAGTGTTTCAGCATGAAAATCTTGATGTTGTAGTGGCAGATGACTCACTCAAAATGCTCTTTCACCAAAACAGATGACGATTATGAAAACGCAGAGTTCCTGGAACAGCAGGAAAGCGGTGAGTTCTGATCTATGTAATAAAATGTAAAGTGATTTTTTGGCAATTTCATGCAAATACAAACACGCTGACCTGAAGCAATAAAACAGAGCAATGTAATAAAGCCAAGCTTTCAGCTAAGGTGTGATATGAGCCACAAGACTCGATACATCCGTCCTTCTCTATAAATTTGGCATAATTCAAAACTGAAACAACTAAAACATGAAATCCAACAGATGCTGGATGTGGTACCCAATGAGGGCAAAATGAAGGAGCAGCTGTTCTGTAAATAAAATGCTACAATAGAAGGGTGGCCAGAGTAAGCAAATTAAACTTAAAAGCAGAGGTTTCAAAAGTATTAATGTTTCTTACTCAAGTAGAAGTATAAAACCTACTGTTTAAAACACTTTTATAGAAGCTTTTTACTGACGTAAAGGTACAAATTTTAAAACTACTTAAAAGTAATGCATCAAAAAATGTCAGAGATAGGTGCTTTCAACAGAATATGTTTCTACAATTCTGGATTTTAAGTTCCTTATACCTAATTTTCTTTGTTCTATGACTAATGGCAATAGTGTCAAATTTAATTTTGCATCATCTTGAAAAACTATTTATTTTGGTATGTGGCAAACAAGTTGGTGGAGTCCTACCATTAAGAAAATTGTCTGGATAAAACAAATTATTTTGAATGTTTTAATTTTTTTTTTTAACACCAACAGGCCTTAATGAAAATAAGCTTAACTGAAACAAAACTAACTGGTCTGTTTTTAAAATGTATTGAGAAAGTAGAAATCATTGAAAAAAATATATATAAAAAAGTTGTCTAAAACATAATTACAGTTAAGTTTCCAGTTAAATTCTACTTAAGGTTAAGTAAGGTAACAAATATTTGTAATTTGTAAAATAGTGTGGAATTATTGTAGCCATCACGTTCCTTTTTGTTGCTTTTAAATACAAGTTAAAAATTTTAGGTTTTACAGATTTATCAGAAAACACCAATCCAACTGGACTCACTGCATCCATTAGAAAGCATGTTCATTTTGTCATCTTTCTTTCTAGATGAGCCCGATTATGTGAATGAAAATGGAGAGTCTACCTGAACGCACCACGTCTGCTGCTTTTCATCCTCAGCATCTGATCAAACTATAGTTTAAACCCTCAGTGTTCAGTTTTCTGTGTGTAAATATCCCAGCACCTTTAGGTACAACCTAAGACTGCCATCTAGTGGTCAAAATATTCACTTCTGTACAGTTGGGTCATCTTATTTGCCTAATAAAGTTAAGTCTATTTTAAAACATGTTTTCATGTTATGAATTTTCCCTTTCTTGGGGAGTTATATTGCTGGTGCTTAAACAGTGTTTAGAAAAAAATTTTTTTAAGGGGATCTGTAAATAGAGGCTGAATTTTAACCACAAAATACAGAGAAGTGTGGTTGATTAAAAATGAACACTTGCAAAAGGTTTGGTAATGATTTTTTTTTACCTACCATTTAAGTATTAGGCATTTCTTTAGCCATAAGCATAATCAAGCCTTCGTTTATTTTAGGGAAATATTTTTCTAAATCAAACTCCTTGTCAAGAACCAGCTAAAACTGTTTTTTCTTATTTGCTCTGAAGCAAAAAAAGATTTTCTATCACTTGTTTTGAGTCACAGATCTTCAGTCTCAACAAGATCATCACAGAGAAGGTTTTTATTGTTAGAACGGATCAGACGGGTGAATTCAGTGCCAAACAGACAGAAGGTAACATCTACAAACACCGCATTAATACCTTTTACAGAAGCTCTACATATACAGTATACTCTCATGGTGCTGCAGCTTTGATCTCAGGGGGAGATGCTAACATTCACACGCATTCAGGGGTTAACGGAGCTGACTTGTTACAAATGAAGCAGGGCCCTCACCGCTGCTTTACAGACAGGAGCTTGCAGTATCTTTGAACTTTTGACAAAAAAGGTCAAAAATGAAACGTGTGGGTAAAGGCTCTTCCTTTCAGCGGTTCGTCTTTAAGCAGCACGTTGATGTAAGGCGGAGAGCTCTATTTGTAAAATGACAGCAGGTCTGAGAGGAGCACAGATTGTGCTGCGAGTCAGAGCCGAGGAGGGAGATCTCTGCAGGTTAAGGTCAGGTGTGTTTAGGACTCTTCTGGGGATGTTTAACGAGATGATCCACCTCTCACACACTCGCAGACAGACACTCTCCAGCTAACAGACGCTTTAGACACTGCTGAGGGCGTCCACGCCAGGCAGCACTTTACCTGAGGACATAAAGAGACCACTTTAACCTCTGGGAGTTTTATTTTAGCACCACTTTGGTTGTGTTTTTAGAAATTAAACACGTTTTTTTTTTAAAGTTTTCAAACACCTACCTTCCAGCAGCTCCAGACTGGCTCCACCTCCAGTGCTCACATGGCTAACTTTGTCCTCCGTGTTCCACTTGGCGCAGCAGGTAGCAGTGTCACCCCCACCTGGACAAAGCACAAACAGCAACAGATTTAAAGAATGAATTGCATCGTTGCTTACTACATATGCATGGTTATTAACCACAGAGCTGATCTTAAACAAAAAAAAGCCATAAAACAGCTTCACTATCTACTTTTTCTTACCGATGATTGTGATGCAGCCTGATTTGGTCACCTCCACCACTTTGTCCATCAGATTCTTCGTTCCCTTGGCGAAGTTATCCCACTCAAACACACCGACTGGACCGTTCCACACGATCTGCTTGGCCCGGCCCACTGCTTCGGCGTAAAGCTTGGAGCTCTCTGGTCCGCAGTCCAGACCCTAACACACACAGAAACGTGGTTCAATAAGTGAGAGTTAGCAAAAACCCGTCAGCAAAGTAAAAGCGTGTGATATTTAATGACTAAGGCTGAGTCTTCGATTTACCATCCAGCCGGCGGGGATCCCGGCAGCGACGGTAGCAGTGCCAGTGGTGGCTTTCTCATCGAATTTGTCTGCGGTCATAAAATCAACAGGAAGGGTGATCTTGACTCCGTTCTTCTCGGCTTTGGCCATCAAGTCTTTGACGATGCCGGCACCTTCCTCATCAAACAGAGAGGTACCAATCTGAATAAGAAAAAACAAAAAAAATCCATTTCAGCCACTGACTTAGGTTTTTATTCTTACCCCTTCCTTCAAGGTAGGGCTGTTTTTATGTTTCCGCTGGTAAAGCTGGAAGGAGTATGAATTATTTGCTATAAAAGGTGAAACACAAAACTCCTAAAAACAGAGGCAGGTACAGAAAATAGAAAGTTCTGAGGATCAAACCCTGTGGAACCCAACAAGAAAAAGGTGACTGCATGAAAATGATCCCACCGATCTGCTTCAACGTGCTTCACTCCTTACTTCCTGTGACCCAACATTGCAAAAGTCTTTAAAAGTAATCTTCCTGAAACTTCCCCTTTTAACTAAGCTGTTGAGAAACTCCCTGTTGGTCCTTTTCCTGCTGTTTTATTTTATCTCTGTTCAGGCCAGGCTCAGTGTTTGAGGATCGTGATGGAGACAATTTCCCCCTCAAACAAATAAAAGAACAAATTTCCAAACCCTTTTGTTAAAAAGATAGAACTGAGGTCACAGACTATCTGTGGTAGAACTAAAACACACAGATTGGTTTCGCAACACTTCACTGACCTGTAGCTCATTACATTACTGGAAACCTATATCATTAGTCCTATAAAAACTACATTTGTGTCATTGAGTTCCAGCTTTTAGTCAGTTTCTGGTAGCTGGGGAGATCCAATCGTCTCTTAGGGGCCTTCAGACCAGGACTACTAACTAGCATCACTGAATGAAATATCACGATATCATGATTCATTTATTCTTTTTGGACTGATCAGGTCTCACCATCTACTCCATCTTTACAACTTGAACATCAAATTTTTAAGCTTCATTAACCTTCAAGTTTACTTAAGCAAAACATGTTTTTTCTTTTCTTTTTGAGTTTTCTAAGATGTCCCCTAAAACATGCTAAGATTGCCCCTTTTTTCCTATGAATGGTCCAACAAGAACTTTTTTTTTTTCTTGCCAAAAGAGACTACGGGTATGATGATCCCTCTAAATATTAATTACACTTCAAAATACTTGCCAATGAAGATGTTTAACACTCCCAAAAATTGTAATAGATCTGGAAATCAGGTATTGCTGTAGATTGTAGGGTTGGCATGGTTTCGATACTAAAGACAAGTTTTGTTTTATTATTGTTAATTTTAGTGTCATTTATTTCACTACCATTTGCAATTCTGTTGAGAACGCATGCTCCACGGGGAGGTTGGGAAAAAAGGGAGATTTTCTAAGTTAACATTTTGTCTTTTTTCTATCTCTGTGGTAGCAACAATTTTATCAAATATTGACCTGTATGAATCAGGTCAAAGGCAACATCATACAGATTTGACATTGGAAAAAACAAAAAAAGATCAAAGAGAACTCTAATTTTTTTTTGTTCTTATTTTGAAGGGTGTGAAACCGTGAAATTGAAAAAAATTATGTTTTTACAGCTTTTGTACCGCTCTGTCATACATTACTGCCAAGCTAATAAAGTAATAACATTAGTGTTAAGGCTGGAATCGCCTCATCCTAAGCATTACACTTCATTCATACTGGAAGATATGTCATATATTTTTACAGTTTATATCTCATGATGGGAAACAGCTCCAATGAAATTAAAATAATATCTGTTTATGGGTGAAGTAGTAGTAGTAAACATTGAAACATAAAAATATTGAAGTTCATAAAGTAAAACATGTTTCAGAACAGCTCCATGTTTCCGTCTGCCTACCCTGAACAAGCTTAAGCACTAAAATATGGACATTTAAAAGTGATTTTAACTGATTAAGAAAACGCAGGTGATGAGGGGTGTAGGGAGGCCTTCCTCACCTCCATGTTGTTGAGGACTTTGAGGAATGTGAAGGCCATGCCGCCACCGATGATCATCTCGTCGACCTTATCCAGCATGTTGTTGATCAGCTGGATCTTATCTTTCACCTTTGCCCTGAAGCAGAGACCAGAGGGCAGAAACCAGTCAGCATAGAAGAGAGAAAATTTACCAGAGCAAAAAAAAAAAAAAAAAAAAAAAAAAGGGGGGGGGCAAACTAAGCTAGGCGGTTATGGTCGACTAGATCTAACAGTAATTTTTCATCTGTAAACCAACCAGGGAATCAAATTCTGTTGGCAAGGTGAGAGCTAAACAAAAGTTCTTAGCCTTTTATGGAGACTTAATCTATCACTGAAATATTCATAGTCCAGATTACAGGAACCCCGATTATAGCCTGCCCCTCGTTAGACCCTGAGCTTTACTAAAGAATGAAGAAAAAAAAAAATAAAAAATCACCTTCCAATAAGTCAGAATTTTGAAATTGAATTTTTGGAAATGTGTCCCGTTTCCATAGTTATTTGTCATTAAAAACGTAAAACAGCCCTTTCAGAGCCATCAGGTCTTTACATTAAATTTTAGATCTAAAATTACTAAAGCTTAGTATGAATGTATGGCTGATATTTCTACAGTTGGAAGTCACTGACCTTGAAATTTACAGACAGACGTATGTATGTATGCAAGAGTGGACATGAAAGGACAAATGGACATATGGAACAAGAAAAAGCAGGAAATGAGAAAGAAAATGGAGAAATAAGGGTGGACAGGAAGAAAGGGCATGAAGGACAGTTTGATGTGAAGGGAGGAGGGTAAAAAAAAAAGAAAAAGGAAATAAGGATGGATGGGAAGAAAAGAAGGACACAAGGGGTCAGAGGAAGAAAGAAAGAAAGGAAGATCTTCTCACCCTCCCAGGATGGCCAGGAAGGGTCTCTGAGGTTTCTCCAGAGCCATGGCAAAGTAGTCCAGCTCCTTCTTCATGAGGAAACCAGCAGCTTTCTGAGGCAGATTAACTCCCACCATGGAGCTGGAGGAGAAAGAGAGAAACACACATTTACAACCAAGCAGGAGGCTCAGATCTAGCATGCCTCTGGAAAGCATCAAAGAATTCCATTCACCGTAATGTCTGCTTTCACGATCGATATTGGATAATAAAAAAAGTTTAACAAGAAGGTTTCTCTACTTGAAGTTAATTTAAATGCAATTAGAGGGAGAGGGGGAAATGGGTTTTACTTCTTCATACCCCTTTTCAGACATTTTACATAAATCAATGTCAGTTCTCTGGCTGTATATACTGACAGGTATATTTGGTGGAGGGTTTTGTTTCCATTGATGTTCAGATGAATTTAGTTTGGAAATTAGTGTTTGGTCGATGTTAACCAGTCTCTTTTGCTGTATCTGGTTTATTCATTTAATGTTAATTATTGTTTGTCAAAAATAGTCTGAAAGAAATTACCATTCATTTAAATACCTATTCATAGTACAATCCAAGGTTTAAATCCTTTA